GGGGAGGGGGGGAATTCCCAACAATTCCAGGAATTCCCAACCCTTTTTTTCCCCGTGGGAATTTCCTTTCCCGGGTTTTTTATTTTTTTTTTCGGGAATTCACGCCGGGATCGTTCGTGAACCGCTCGTAACGGGAATTTTTTCTGCTGTTTTCCCGCTTTTTTTCTCCCCTGGTTTTCCTCTCATTTCCCTTTTTCTCTTCCCAATTTTTTTTTTCCCTTTCATTTCCCGCTTTTTTCCCACTTTTTTTCCTTTTTTCCACACTTTTTCCTCACTTTTTTCCCTTTTTTCCTGCTTTTTTCCCGCTTTTTTTCCCGATTTTTTCCTTTTTCCTCCCTTTTTTCCCGCCTTTTTCCTGCTTTTTTCCCCGCTTTTTCCCTTTTTCCCGCTTTTTTCACGCTTTTTTCCCGCTTTTTCCCTTTTTCCCGCTTTTTTCCCGCTTTTTCCCTTTTTCCCGCTTTTTTCCCGCTTTTTTCCCGCTTTTCCCACTTTTCTCCCGCTTTTTTCCCGCATTTTTCCTGCTTTTTCCCCTTTTTTCCCGCTTTTTTCCGGCTTTTTTCCCACTTTTTCCCCTTTTTTCTGGCTTTTTTCCTGCTTTTTTCCCCACTTTTTTCCTCTTTTTTCCCCTTTTCCCCCTTTTTTCCCTTTTTTCCCTTTTTTTTCCCCACTTTTCTTGCACTTTTTTCCCGCTTTTTTCCCTTTTTTCCCTTTTTTTCCCTTTTTTTCCCGCTTTTTTTCCTGCTTTTTTCCCGCTTTTTTCCCTTTTTTCCCGCCTTTTTCCTGCTTTTTTCCCGCTTTATTCCCGCTTTTTTCCCTTTTTTTCCCGCTTTTTTCCCGCCTTTTTCCCACTTTTTTCCCGCTTTTTTCCCTTTTTTCCCGCCTTTTTCCCACTTTTTCCCCTTTTTTCCCGCTTTTTTTCCCCCCTTTTTTCCCGCTTTTTTCCCGCTTTTTTCCCTTTTTTCCCGCCTTTTTCCCACTTTTTCCCTTTTCCCGCCTTTTTCCCGCTTTTTTCCTGCTTTTTTCCCCGCTTTTTTCCCTTTTTTCCCGTTTTCCTTCTTTTTTCCCTTTTTTCCCTTTTTTTCCCCACTTTTCTCGCACTTTTCCCCCGCTTTTTTCCCTTTTTTCCCGCTTTTTTCTCGCACTTTTTTCCTGTTTTTCCCGCTTTTTTCTCTTTTTCCCGCTTTTTTCCCACTTTTTTCCCACTTTTTTCCCACTTTTTTTCCTTTTTTCCCCGCTTTTTTCTCTTTTTTTTCCTTTTTTCCCCTTTTTTTCCCTTTTTTCCCTTTTTTTCCCACTTTTTTCCCGCTTTTTTTCCCTTTTTCCCCCTTTTTTTGCGCATCCAAAGGGGGAGATCCTGGTAAGTACCAACGGAACGGGAAAAACGCCGGGATAACATTCCCAAAAATTCCCAAAATTCCCAAAAAAATCCCCAAAAAATCCCGAAATTCCCAAAAATCCCCAAAATCCCAAAAAATCCCAAAAAAATCCCCAGAAATCCCAAAAAATTCCCAAAAATCCCAAAAATCCCAAAAAATCCCCCAAAAATCCCCCAAATTCCCAAAAATCCCCAAAAAATCCCCGAAATTCCCAAAAAAATCCCCAGAAAATCCCGAAAATTCCCAAAAATCAAAAAAAATTCCCAAAACATCCCCAAAAAATCCCAAAAATTCCCCAAAAAATCCCAAAAAATCCCCCCAAAGTCCCCAAAATTCCCAAAAAAAATCCCAAAAAAATCCCCCAAAATTCCCCAAAATCCCCAAAAACCCGGGATGGAGCCTGGGAGGTTTTTTTGGGATGGGATTCCCGGGAGATTCCCAAAGTTTGGGAAGCAGGAGGGGAAAATAAAATCTTTGGGAATTTTGGGGATTCAGCCCCGAACGGGAGCGGGGGGAGGAGATTCCCTGGATTTCCTTGGGAATTCACCGAGGGAAAACCGGGAATTCTGATCCAAACTGGGAATTCTGATCCAAACTGGGAATTCTGAGCCAAACTGGGAATTCCAGACCCAAACTGGGAATTCTGATCCAAACTGGGAATTCTGAGCCAAACTGGGAATTCCAAACCCAAACTGGGAATTCCAAACCCAAACTGGGAATTCTGATCCAAACTGGGAATTCCAAACCCAAACTGGGAATTCCAAACCCAAACTGGGAATTCTGATCCAAACTGGGAATTCCAGACCCAAACTGGGAATTCTGATCCAAACTGGGAATTCCAGACCCAAACTGGGAATTCTGATCCAAACTGGGAATTCCAAACCCAAACTGGGAATTCCAAACCCAAACTGGGAATTCCAAACCCAAACTGGGAATTCCAAACCCAAACTGGGAATCCTGATCCAAACTGGGAATTCTGATCCAAACTGGGAATTCCAAACCCAAACTGGGAATTCCAAACCCAAACTGGGAATTCCAAACCCAAACTGGGAATTCCAGACCCAAACTGGGAATTCCAAACCCAAACTGGGAATTCCAAATCCAAACTGGGAATCCTGATCCAAACTGGGAATTCCAAACCCAAACTGGGAATTCCAAACCCAAACTGGGAATTCCAAACCCAAACTGGGAATTCTGATCCGAACTGGGAATTCTGATCCAAACTGGGAATTCTGATCCAAACTGGGAATTCCAGACCCAAACTGGGAATTCCAGACCCAAACTGGGAATTCCAAACTGGGAATTCCAGACCCAAACTGGGAATTCCAAACCCAAACTGGGAATTCACCGAGGGAAAACCGGGAATTCCAGACCCGAACTGGGAATTCCAGACCCGAACTGGGAATTCCAGACCCAAACTGGGAATTCCAAACCCAAACTGGGAATTCTGATCCAAACTGGGAATTCCAAACCCAAACTGGGAATTCCAAACCTGAACTGGGAATCCTGATCCAAACTGGGAATTCAGATCCACACCGGATCTTCCACCATCCCACAATTCCCCCCAGGATTCCCCAAGAATTCCGGAATTCCCATCGGGATCCCCCCAGAATTCCGGGATTTCCCCCAGAATTCCAGGATTTCCCCCAAAATTCCGGAATTCCCACCGGGATCCCCCCAGAATTCCAGGATTTCCCCCAGAATTCCGCAATTCCCACCGGGATCCCCCCGGAGTTCCGGGATTTCCCCCAGAATTCCGGGATTTCCCACCGGGATCCCCCTGGAATTCTGGGATCCCCCCAGAATTCCAGAATTCCCATCGGGATCCCCCCAGAATTCCAGGATTTCCCATCAGGATCCCCCCAGAATTCCAGGATTTCCCATCGGGATCAACCCAGAATTCCAGGATTTCCCTTCAGGATCCCCCCAGAATTCCAGGATTTCCCCCAGAATTCCGGAATTCCCATCGGGATTTCCCCCAGAATTCCAGGATTTCCCACCAGGATTTCCCCCAGAATTCCGGAATTCCCATCGGGATCCCCCCAAAATTCCGGGATTTCCCCCAGAATTCCGGATTTCCCATCGGGATCCCCCCGGAATTCCAGGATTTCCCTAGAATTCCAGAATTCCCATCAGGATTCCCCCAGAATTCCAGGATTTCCCACCAGGATTCCCCCAGAATTCCAGGATTTCCCACCAGGATTTCCCCCAGAATTCCAGGATTTCCCCCAGAATTCCGGGATTCCCATCGGGATTCCCCCAGAATTCCGGGATTTCCCCCAGAATTCTGGAATTCCCATCGGGATTTCCCCCAGAATTCCGGGATTTCCCCCAGAATTCCGCAATTCCCACCGGGATCCCCCCAGAATTCCGTGATTTCCCCCAGAATTCCAGGATTTCCCATCGGGATCCCCCCAGAATTCCTCGATTCCCACCAGGATCCCCCCAGAATTCCAGGATTCCCCCAGAATTCTGGGATTTCCCCCAGAATTCCAGGATTTCCCCCAGAATTCCGGATTTCCCATCGGGATCCCCCCAGAATTCCAGGATTTCCCCCAGAATTCCGGGATCCCCCCAGAATTCCGCGATTCCCACCGAGATCCCCCCGGAATTCCGGGATCCCTTTGCCGATCCCGCCGGGATTCGGGATCTCCCCGGGGTGGGGGAGGGGGGAGGGATTTGGGGCGATCCCGGAGCGGGATCCCGGAGATTCCGGAACGTTCCAGGTGATCCGGAGGGGGTGGCTGACCATCAACAACATCAGCATCATGAAGGGGGGATCCAAGGAATATTGGTTCGTGCTGACGGCGGAGTCGCTCTCCTGGTACAAGGATGAGGAGGTAGAGCCGGGAATTCCGGGAATTCTGGGAATTCTGGGAATTCTGGGAGGGAAAAATGGGAATTCTGGGAGGAAAAATGGGAATTCTGGGGGAAAAAACGGGATTTGGGGTGGGAAAAATGGGAATTCTGGGTGGAAAAAACGGGAATTCTGGGTGAAAAAATGGGAATTCTGGGGAAAATGGAAATTCTGGGAATTCTGGGTGGAAAAAATGGGAATTCTGGGTGAAAAATGGGAATTCCGGGAATTTTGGGTGAAAAAACGGGAATTCTGGGTGGAAAAACGGGAATTCTGGGTGAAAAAATGGGAATTCTGGGTGGAAAAATGGGAATTCTGGGTGAAAAATGGGAATTCTGGGTGAAAAATGGGAATTCTGGGTGAAAAATGGGAATTCTGGGAATTCTGGGGGAAAAAACGGGATTTGGGGTGGGAATTCCCGGGAGGATCCAAGGAATGTTGGTTCGTGCTGAGGGCGGAGTCGCTCTCCTGGTACAAGGATGAGGAGGTAGAAATGGGAAAAACCGGGAATTCCGGGAATTCCGGGAATTCTGGGAGGGAAAAATGGGAATTCTGGGGGAAAAAATGGGAATTCTGGGTGGAAAAATGGGAATTCTGGGAATTCTGGGTGGGAATTCTGGGAATTCTGGGTGGAAAAATGGGAATTCTGGGAATTCTGGGTGGGAATTCTGGGAATTCTGGGTGGAAAACCGGGAATTCTGGGAATTCTGGGAATTCTGGGTGGGAATTCTGGGAATTCTGGGGGAAAACTGGGATTTGGGGTGGGAATTCCCGGGAGGATCCAAGGAATGTTGGTTCGTGCTGACGGCGGAGTCGCTCTGCTGGTACAAGGATGAGGAGGTAGAGCCGGGAATTCCGGGAATTCTGGGAATTCTGGGAATTCTGGGAGGGAAAAATGGGAATTCTGGGAGGAAAAATGGGAATTCTGGGGGAAAAAACGGGATTTGGGGTGGGAATTCCCGGGAGGATCCAAGGAATGTTGGTTCGTGCTGAGGGCGGAGTCGCTCTCCTGGTACAAGGATGAGGAGGTAGAAACGGGAAAAACCGGGAATTCCGGGAATTCTGGGAATTCTGGGAGGGAAAAATGGGAATTCTGGGGGAAAAATGGGAATTCTGGGGGAAAAAATGGGATTTGGGGTGGGAAAAATGGGAATTCTGGGTGGAAAAATGGGAATTCTGGGTGAAAAATGGGAATTCTGGGAATTCTGGGGGAAAAAACGGGATTTGGGGTGGGAATTCCCGGGAGGATCCAAGGAATGTTGGTTCGTGCTGACGGCGGAGTCGCTCTGCTGGTACAAGGATGAGGAGGTAGAAACGGGAAAAACCGGGAATTCCGGGAATTCTGGGAATTCTGGGAGGGAAAAATGGGAATTCTGGGTGAAAAAATGGGAATTCTGGGTGGAAAAATGGGAATTCTGGGTGGAAAAATGGGAATTCTGGGTGAAAAATGGGAATTCTGGGTGGAAAAATGGGAATTCTGGGTGGAAAAATGGGAATTCTGGGTGGAAAAAATGGGAATTCTGGGTGGAAAAAATGGGAATTCTGGGTGGAAAAATGGAAATTCTGGGAATTCTGGGAGGGAAAATGGGAATTCTGGGAATTCTGGGTGGAAAAATGGGAATTCTGGGGGAAAAAACGGGATTTGGGGTGGGAATTCCCGGGAGGATCCAAGGAATGTTGGTTCGTGCTGAGGGCGGAGTCGCTCTGCTGGTACGAGGATGAGGAGGTAGGGCCTGGAATTCCGGGAATTCCGGGAATTCTGGGAATTCTGGGAGGGAAAAATGGGAATTCTGGGGGAAAAATGGGAATTCTGGGGGAAAAATGGGAATTCTGGGTGGAAAAATGGGAATTCTGGGGGAAAAAATGGGATTTGGGGTGGGAATTGCCGGGAGGATCCAAGGAATGTTGGTTCGTGCTGACGGCGGAGTCGCTCTCCTGGTACGAGGATGAGGAGGTAGAAACGGGAATTCCAGGAATTCTGGGAATTCTGGGAGGGAAAAATGGGAATTCTGGGTGGAAAAATGGGAATTCTGGGGGAAAAAATGGGAATTCTGGGTGGAAAAATGGGAATTCTGGGAGGGAAAAATGGGAATTCTGGGTGGAAAAATGGGAATTCTGGGTGGAAAAATGGGAATTCTGGGTGAAAAAATGGGAATTCCGGGTGGAAAAATGGAAATTCTGGGAATTCTGGGTGGAAAAAATGGGAATTCTGGGTGGAAAATGGGAATTCTGGGAATTCTGGGTGGAAAATGGGAATTCTGGGTGGAAAAATGGGATTTGGGGTGGGAATTCTGGGAGTTCCGGGAATTCTGGGTGGAAAAATGGGAATTCCGGGAATTCTGGGAATTCTGGGTGGGAATTCTGGGAATTCTGGGGGAAAAAACGGGATTTGGGGTGGGAATTCCCGGGAGGATCCAAGGAATGTTGGTTCGTGCTGAGGGCGGAGTCGCTCTCCTGGTACAAGGATGAGGAGGTAGGGCCTGGAATTCCGGGAATTCCGGGAATTCCGGGAATTCTGGGAATTCTGGGAGGGAAAAATGGGATTTGGGGTGGGAATTCTGGGGGGGGAAATGGGAATTCTGGGAATGCTGGGTGGAAAATGGGATTTGGAGAGGGAATTTTGGGAATTGTGGGAATTCTGGGTGGGAAAAAATGGGATTTGGAGAGGAAATTCTGGGAATTCTGGATGGAAAATGGGATTTAGGGTGGGAATCCGGGAATTCCGTGTTTTTCCCCCCTTTTCCCAGGAAAAGGAGAAGAAGTACATGCTCCCTTTGGACAACCTGAAAATCCGGGATGTGGAGAAGGGATTCATGTCCAACAAACACGTCTTCGCCATCTTCAACACCGAGCAGAGGTCGGGGAAATCCCGGGAAATCCCGGGAAATTCCGGGAAATTCCAGGAAATCCCGGGAAATTCTGGGAAATTCCGGGAAATTCCGGGAAATCCCGGGAAATTCTGGGAAATTCCGGGAAATCCCGGAAAATTCCGGGAAATTCCAGGAAATTCTGGGAAATTCTGGGAAATTCCCCTTTCCCGGGGGGATCCCGGGGTGGTGGATCCCGGGGGGATCCCAGGGTGATCCCGGGCTGATTGATGGATCCCAGGGTGATTGATGGATCCCAGAGTGAATGATGGATCCCGGGGTGATTGATGGATCCCAGGGTGATTGATGGATCCCAGGGTGATGGATGGATCCCAGGGTGATCCCAGGGTGATTGATGGATCCCAGGGTGATTGATGGATCCCGGGGTGATTGATGGATCCCAGGGTGATGGGTGGATCCCAGGGTGATTGATGGATCCTGGGATGATTGATGGATCCCAGGGTGATCCTGGGGTGATTGATGGATCCCAGGGTGATTGATGGATCCCAGGGTGATTGATGGATCCCGGGGTGATTGATGGATCCCGGGGTGATGGATGGATCCCGGGGTGATGGATGGATNATTGATTGGCTTCACCTGCGGGAAAAGACGGAAAAATGGGGAAAAATGGGGAAAAACGGGGGGAAATGGGGGGAAATGGGGGGAAATGGGGAAAAAATGGGGAAAATGGGGAAAAAATGGGGAAAATGGGGAAAAATTGGGGAAAATGTAGGGAAATGGGGAGAAAAATGGGGAAAAATGGGGAAAAATGGGGGGAAATGGGGAGAAATGGGTGGAAAATGGGGAAAATGGGTGGAAAAATGGGGGGAAATGGGGAAAAAATGGGGGGAAATGGGGAAAAATGGGGGAAAACCGGAATAAATGTGAAAAATGGGAATAAATGTGGGAAAAAAGGGAATAAAAATGACAATAAATGGGAATAAAAGTGAAGAAAAATGGGAATAAATGTGGAAAAATGGGAACAAAAGTAAAAAAAATGAGAATGAAAGTGAAAGAAATGGGAATAAATGTGAAAAAAATGGGAAAAAAGTGAAAAAAAATTGGGAATAAAAGTACAAAAATGGGAATAAAAGTGGAAAAAATGGGAATAAAAGTGAAAAAAAGGGAATAAATGTGAAAAATGAGAATAAATGTGGGAAAAAAGGGAATAAAAATGAAAATAAATGGGAATAAAAGTGAAGAAAAATGGGAATAAAAGTACAAAAATGGGAATAAATGTGGAAAAATGGGAATAAATGTGGAAAAATGGGAATAAATGTGGAAAAAAATGGGAATAAATGTGGAAAAATGGGAATAAAAGTGAAAAAAGGAATAAAAATCAAAATAAATAGAAATAAAAGTGAAAATAAATGGGAATAAAAGTGAAAAAAATGGGAATAAAAATGAAAATAAATGGGAATAGAAGTGAAGAAAAATGGGAATAAAAGTGGAAAAATGGGAATAAATGTGGAAAAATGGGAACAAAAGTGAAAAAAGGAATAAAAATGAAAATAAATAGAAATAAAAGTGAAAATAATTGGGAATAAAAGTCAAAAAATGGGAATAAATGTGGAAAAATGGGAATAAAAATACAAAAATGGGAATAAATGTGGAAAAATGGGAATAAATATGGAAAAAAGGGAATAAAAATGAAAACAAATGGGAATAAAAGTGAAGAAAAATGGTAATAAAAGTACAAAAAATGGGAATAAATGTGGGAAAAATGTGAATAAAAGTGAAAAAAGGAATAAAAATGAAAATAAATGGGAATAAAAGTGAAAAAAAGGGAATAAAAGTACAAAAATGGGAATAAATGTGGAAAAACGGGAATAAATGTGGAAAAATGGGAATAAATGTGGAAAAAAATGGGAATAAATGTGGAAAAAAATGGGAATAAAAGTGAAGAAAAATGGGAATAAATGTGGAAAAAAATGGGAATAAAAGTGAAGAAAAATGGGAATAAATGTGGAAAAATGGGAATAAATGTGGAAAAATGGGAATAAATGTGGAAAAAAATGGGAATAAAAGTGGAAAAAATCGGAATAAAAGTGAAAAAAATGGGAATAAATGTGGAAAAATGGGAATAAATGTGGAAAAATGGGAATAAAAGTGAAAAAAGGAATAAAAAGGAAAATAAATAGAAATAAAAGTGAAAATAAATGGGAATAAAAGTCAAAAAATGGGAATAAAAGTGGAAAAACGGGAATAAAAGTCAAAAAATGGGAATAAATGTGGAAAAATGGGAATAAAAATACAAAAATGGGAATAAATGTGGAAAAAAGGGAATAAAAATGAAAATAAATGGGAATAAAAGTGAAGAAAAATGGGAATAAAAGTACAAAAATGGGAATAAATGTGGAAAAACGGGAATAAATATGGAAAAATGGGAATAAAAATACAAAAATGGGAATAAATGTGGAAAAATGGGAATAAAAATGAAAATAAATGGGAATAAAAGTACAAAAAAGGGAATAAAAATGAAAATAAATGGGAATAAAAATGAAAATAAATGGGAATAAAAGTGAAGAAAAATGGGAATAAAAGTACAAAAATGGGAATAAATATGGAAAAATGGGAATAAATGTGGAAAAATGGGAATAAATGTGGAAAAATGGGAATAAAAGTGAAAAAAGGAATAAAAAG